AATTTATTTTTGGTTTAAAATTATAAATTCTATAAGATAATAATTAAGTATTCTGTTAAATTCAATGATTATCCTAATTATATTTTAGATTTTTATATTTAAAATGAGATGTTTATCATGTATTTGATTATGTTTATCTACAGTTAGTTACACGAATTCAGATATAGAGCTTTGATAAGTTGTACTTATGCACAATATACTTGCAATCTTGAGTTTTAAGTAATATGCATTAATAAACAGTACTTTACGCATAAAAAGTGGTTTTTAAGAGTTTTTGTCAAATGCTTTATAATATAGTATAAATATAATATTTATATATGACAAATGCAACAAAAAAAACTCACACACTCTCTTCACTTTTGGTGATGATTGAACTTCTGACCTTCTAGGAGGCCAAATGCTACAATACCGCTAGACTAGAGACCATTTGAACGAGACATTATGTTGTTGTCGAAAGAAGTGAAACTCGTAAAATAAATTATTTGACTGCTAAGAAAATAAGAATGTCATAATAAAATATATAATTTTAACAAAAGAATTGTGTAATACTTATAACTGAACAACTATATTTTTTTTGTAGTTTTTTTCAGTAGATAAATACACTGATATATGTAATACAAACAATGCAGATAAAATTCAATGCAATCAAATATATTAGAAAAATAACATATCATCACTTATCTCATACATATCATCATATATCCTATACATACCTCCAGTCCACAAGAGAATTTTTATTTCTACTTAAATTTGAACCTGAGACCTTAAGACACTTTTGACATTTGGAGTTCAAGCTCAAACCAATCAGGTACCACCCTTGTAATAGGTATTAGATTATGACTAAGTAATTAACAATAAACTAATTGTTATATGATCGCTCAACAAAGGTCTGCTTTCTTGCAATGAGATTCAATATCGATCTACCTTATACAGTTTGGCGGGTTACAACACAAAGTAACCAGACACATAAAGAAATTTCCCGTTTCGGCTTGCTATCGTAGCGACTAA